TCAAAGACAATAATATTTTCAAAATCAGCTTGTAAATCCCTAAAAATGATTTTTAAAGCAGAGTGAGCGAACCTAGACAATAAGATATTAAAGATTTGAGTTTTATTCTGAGCCTAGTACTTAGAATATTTCGCTCATAATTTGTAGCTTGAGGAGAGTCGAGCCTCCACCTGCTACACAACATATTTCAGATATTTCAGCATCCGCATTCGCCGTTTTCCAGGTGGGGACCATGTACTGTGTATTTCATCACTTTTAATAATTTACCATGTCTGAGATCTATATGTGTTTAAATTGAAGGACCGAGACGGATGAGTGATCCCGTCTTAGTCAATATTTTAGTATTTCAGTTATGACTTGGATGTGTGTGATTAGGGCTCGTCCTAAGTCTAGCGTCCAGATGGGGTGATTAGTGCCTTTCCTGGATTTCTGTGGGAGGGGACCCCCAGAGTGTGCACATGAGTACCGGTTTACCGTCATTCCCATAGCCAGACCAGTTTATTTATATATATGTTGATTTCATAGTTTGTTATTAATTGTGCTGAGTATTCAGTGTCGGTTCCGGTGGAGCACCGTTGATTCCTTTGTGCTCACGCCTCCCCACTACCCTATTTTTCAGGTGATGGAGTCCCGCGTGGAGCGTGAGCAGTTATGTGGTGTTGGTCCAGCTTCAGGACATTTTTGTGAAAACATGTCATATAGTATTTGAACATGTTTGAATTATCTATGTTTGTTTTATGCTTGTGTGTTTTTCTGAACTTGTACTTGCTTCCGCATGTTAGACTTGTGTTTCAGATATCAGATTTCAGACTATTATTTCAGATGTCAGATTTTCAGACTATGCATGTTTTATCCGGTATTATTCATTGCCTTAATTCTAGAATGAATTTACTTGGTCGCATGCATGTTAGATTAAAGAGATAAAGATAAAGATTAAAGTTGAGTAGCATCCCGCGTTTTAAAGTTAAAGTACTTTCGAAAAATTAATATGAATTTTCGAAAATTATATCAGTCTCTTTCCATTTATAGCGCGAAAAATTTACTCTGATTTTAGTAAGTCTAGGCGGGGTGTTACACGAGCTATGTGGGGAATCGGAGTCAACGTTACATGTTCTCCGTGACTGCGCGACTATTCGAGAGCTTTGGACCAGGTTGTTACCTGTGGTGCACGACACAAATTTCTTTCATTTGCCTATTAAACCGTGGCTCAGATCGAATTTATCGAAGTTGCGGATGGGGAGTTGTGAAAATTGGAGCATCGTCTTCGCGATTGCCGTTTGGCGATCTTGAAAGTGGCGCAATGAACGAATATTCAAACACACAACTCTTAGTGTCGCGGCCAGAGCTATGGAGGTGATGCGCCTCACCAAGAGTTATATGAATGCGGAGGCAGATTATGGGAAGGCGGGGGCGGCGGTTCATGTCACGCGAATGATCAGGTGGAGTCCCCCCGCCGAAGGGTGGATTAAGGTAAATTCCGATGGAGCGGCTAATACCTCAACGGGGAGGTGTTATGCGGGTGGTCTAATTCGCGATGCGGCGGGCAGATGGGTGGAGGGCTTTATTTTTAATATAGGACTCTGCATCGTCACGAGAGCGGAGCTCTGGGGTCTATACCAGGGACTCCAGTTGGCATGGGAGGCGGGGTTTAGACAAGTTATCGTGGAGGCTGACAGCCTCTGCGTACAAAAGATGGTATGCGACTCCGACGGCGATCTTGGTCCACATCAAGCATTGGTTATGTCGATTCGGAGTATGGTCAACAAAGATTGAAATGTCAAGGTCCAACACGTTCACAGGGAAGTAAATTTTGCAGCCGATCATATGGCGAGCCTAGCAGAATCCTATCCGCTCGGGCTGCACCACATTGCCGCCCCACCCATGGGCTTAGGAGCATGGATCGAGCATGATAATATTGGGGTGTCATACCCCGACGAGTACTAGCCTAGGCCTGTGTCCTCTTTCTTTATACCAAAAAAAAAATTCACCACTACAGTTATTTTAGTAAAAAAAAAAAAATAAAAAAAAAAACCTTATAAGAGATTTGTTTTCATTTTTATTTGTTAAATGAAGATTTGTTCAGTGAAGATTTATCTGAAAAGTGAAAATGAAACTACCAAAAAAAAAAAAAAAAAAAAAAAAAAAAANAAAAAAAAAAAAAAAAAGATAAAAAAAATAATTTCAACTTTTTCTACTGCAATTCTTTTAACACAATTATAAAACAAAATAACCATTAATATATATAAAAACCACTATTCCACCCACATATTTTTAATTATCAATCTTAGCAATCAAATTTGATCTTTTTTCTTATTATTTCTGTCTTAATTATTACACATTTATCTCATTTTAATCTCAAATTTATATGTTTTAATCTTATTTTCTGAAAAATAATATCGTAAAAATTCGAAAGTGTCAATTTTGAAAGTCTTAAAACGTTATTAAAGGTTTACCAAATGAATACACCTCCTAAGTAGATGGGAGATGCAAGATTTTGAATATATATTTTGTATTTAAAATCTCAATAATTCTTAAAATCCACACAAACCACAAATTAATATATATATATATATACATATATATTAAAATTTTAAATAAATATCTTCACACTTTTAAAAATTCTAAAAATTAAACTTACTACACAAAACTAGAATCTCTATTTTTTTTTATTTTTTTTAAGAAATCTAAAAAAATGGGACCTATGGTTTGGCTAGTGTCCCGTGCCCTTGGGCCAAATTCCAAAATTGGTCATATAATATTAGAATTAATGACGCTCCTTATCTCTTTCAAAATATGTTTTACTCAATTAATACACCGGACGGAGTATTCCATTTTTACTCCATTTTATTACCATTATATATTTTTTAAAAGTTTTTTTTTAAAAAAAAAAAAAAATCAAATAGTGTTCAGTTTTACTCTTCCCGGTTTAAATTTATTGTACCTTCTTCTTATCCTTGTCAGTTTTTTTTCATTAATTTTTCTCTCTCTTTTTTTTCCTCTCTCTCTCTCTCTCTCTCTCTCTCAGACACAAAGCTCCACCTCCTCCCTAGTTTCTCTTAATTCTCATTCTAATTCTACATCCTAAAATTTTTTTCATTCTTAATTTTAATTCTTAATCTTATAATTATCTTCATTTTTTTATGATTCTTTTGCAGAGTATTTTATGATTTTTTTTATTCACAATATGATATGTATTTAAATACAATTGAGATTGTTGATGTTAGACTGTTAGAGAAATGTATTTAAATATAATTTAAATAATAGTTGTTTTTATGTTGAGATTGTTGATGTTAGACTGTTAGTTTAAGACAACTATTAAATAATAGTATCAACAATCTCAGCACTAACTGCTGATGGTGGATATTTTATTGTTTATTAATAGTTGTTTTTATTGTTTATTAATAGTTGTTTTTATGTTGCTTGAAAGATATTTTATTGTTGTTTGTGGTCCGTAATAGTTGTTTTTATGTTGTTTGAAAGATGTTTTATTCTTGTTTGTGGTAACGTGTTTTTTTATAATATATATTATAATTTTTAAGTCAAAATAATAGTTATTTGTGTTGTTTTCTTTAGTCAAATTAATTGTTATGTATGTATATAATCAATTGATTTATTTTATTTTTATTTTAGGCTTGAAAAAGAAGAAATAAGAAGAGGAAGGAAGAAGAAGAGAAAAATAACGAGGAAAAGAAAAGAGAGAGAAGATAGAGAGAGGAGGAAGAGATAATGGAAAGAGAGTAGAAGAAGAAAGAGAATGAAAATAGATAAAGATGAACGGTTTTATTTTCATTGTTTTTTGAAAGTTTGAAAATCAAGCATTTATTAAAATCATTGTAGTCTACTTCTTTTATGGAATATATTTTTTCCTGGAGGTCAGTTATGTACATTAGCCTATAATATTAACAAAGTCCAAATTTTCACCCTTATTGACCACTTTGAAACAAAGTATAATAGTTTGACAATTGACAGCTTCAAGTGTATTTAATAATTCCAAACTTGCAAAAAGGCTTCAACCAATGATAACTTGCCACGTAAGCAACAAGAATTGAACTGCTCAAACTTCACGCGAAAAACCAAACTGACGGTTTGGGCGGCCGTTTGGCTCGCCAGCTAGATTTTGGGGAGGTTTAACTCTTTGTTTATTAGGTGTTTTGTTTTTTTTTTTGTCTTTCTCAGTTTTTGTTTTGTTAAGTCCAGTGAAGAACTGAAGTCTGACGTCTAGGCCCCTTCATGGAGTTGGTTTCGTTGTTTCTTGTTATCTACTTGATGGAATACCCCTCTTGAATACATGTGTCGCTTGAAAGGGGGTTGTTCCAAACATTGTTCTGGTTCCTTTGGTATCAGTTGACACATCGATTGTACTTTATCGAGTTTCAAGTTATTAATATATTTATCGTTTGAAAAAAAAAAAACACGGAATATATTGTAAGTTATTATCTTACGAAGGATGGTTAAAACAATATTGAGCTCTAGTTTTACCTATAACCTTTGTTGGGGTGTGTGCGCGCGTATGTTTTTTTTTTTATGTTTTATTTTATTTTATTTTTTAATGAGAGCCTCAGCTGCTCTTCAGTGGATTTGAGTAAATTTATCATCATACAATCCTTTGAGCTAATATTTGAACTTCCAATTTTTATGGATGTGATATATAGCAAATACATCTTAGATAAGATCTGAAATAATCACCTACCATCACGTACTATTTCTTTCTTGTCCATACAATTTTGTGCAGCTGAAACATGCTTTTGTGTTATCTTGCCTGATACAAAGTTATATGATTTAGTTCTGAAAGCACATTAGTTTTCTGTTAACATCACTAACAAGTTTGTGGAGATATAACTAGATGAAGTCCACATGAATGATCAAGAATTTGCTGGCTTCTTGGTCAGAAGAATATAAACTGAAAGTAGAGTGAAACCGGATAAAGAAACAGGCACCATAAGCAGTCTAACAAGCACAAAATGCAAAGGACCATCGGTTTTCGGGCTAAGGGCGGCATTTTACGTTTCCGATTTCTCCTCTCTGACATCTTCTTGTAAAAAGTTACCCAGAAGCCTTTGATTGAGAACCATGTTGGGTACCTGTATAATACAATTTATCAACCAAAAAGTATATAGAGAGAGACACTACGGGGGGGTTTATGGGAGGGGTCATGGAGAATTAGTTACCTTGTTGCCGAAATATATTTTGGTGTTGTTGGCAATAGCTTCAATGAATTTGAGTTCCAAATATTGAGGAGTAAGCTTCAACTTGTCTGCTTCGGCTTCTTTGATAGTGCTGTGAATTCATCATAGACAAACACAAGCTCATGTCCAAGATTTTGTCAATTTGAAGATATCACATAAGTAATGGAGAGGGTTGTTAAAGGGTTATCAAAAGGAGCAGATTAACTGAGTATTCTATTTGTTTAAACACAAGCTCATTTCCAAGATTTTGTTCATTTGAAAATATCACACAAGTAATGAAGAGGGTTGTTAAATCAAAAGAAGCAGATTAACCGAGCATTTTATTTGTGGAAAGCGTTCCATATTTCTCTGTGCTTGCATATGGTCCAAAAACTCCTACACTCATGTATAAAATACCCGCATACATGAAGTGATTAAACCAAAAAGCATTTGCAGCTCATTTAGTAATCATCTTTGTTAATTTGTATGCCAAAAAAATGCAACTTCTTTTTCTACTTACAGACAAATATTTACTCCATAATTTCATAAAAAAGAAAGACAAATGACTTAAACTTTTTTCGTTTCACAGAACGGTAGAAAAATGACTTAAACTTGAAAAGGTTATTTTCGTCTGTCAAATAAAAATTAGTACATTAATTATTTATTCTAAACCAATTTCAAGATTTATCTTTTCACCTTTACCATCTACAATTTCTTACTCACCAGTTGCATTAGTCTATGGCTATATCTTCCAAGATTCAGTACTTAATTTGACGTGTTAGAACAGGTTTTAGCTTGCACGCATCACTAGACAAATATCATATGTTGATGAAAACAAACCAAAGAGGTTTACCGGTAATAGTTGGCGTCAGCCAAGCTCTTTTCACGAGCCAAGTACATTGCATTAGAAATTTCTTCCTGCCTCCTCAAACTGTCTTTCTCCATTAGCTTTTGTTCCATCTGAATCTTACTGACATGAGCATTCTTTTCAGCGTCACTAACAGCAATTTTTTTTTGAGTTTCAGCTTCCTTCTCAGAAACTCTTTGTTTCTCCATGGCAATCAATACCTGTAAATTGTAATATATCACTTTAACATTTATTTCAGTTTCAGATATCAGTGAATAACCTAAAATAGTGATCTCATTAACCTAGCTTTCTCATCAGATTAAGGAGGAAAAAACTGGGAGGAGAGAGAGAGAGAGAGAGAGAGAGAGAGAGAGAGAGAGAGAGAGAGAGAGAGAGAGAGAGAGAGAGAGAGACCAAGTCCTGTTTCACATGATTTTGTGTAGATCCAGAAAAAACATATGCTTTCAGAATTAAAAGATCAAATATATAAAGAGGATACTGTTCACGATGAGCCAACCATTTCACATAAAAAATCTCCTACTGCATGCTAATCGATCTGATTAAGGGCTAATGGATGGACCAACATATTCAACCTTGTTATCCATATTATTCAATAGATAATTATAGTTGACAGATCAAGATCTAGGTTTTGCACAAGTGTGAAGAATAACAAGTATATGTAAGTTCAAATGAATGCCCTAAAGCCCCAATGTAAGAACATAAAGAAAGCTTTACCTTGGTGCGCTCCTCTTCCATCTGCTCAAAATTCCTCCTTATACTATCAGGAATTTTAGGCTTCGTGACACGCACACTTATAATTTCAATACCAGGAGCATAACGAGTGCAGTCTGCCTGAAGGGCATCTTTCATTTTATCATCAATCTGAAATTTTTTGAACGATTGAGCATTAAATTGTGAATACCTAAGACGTAGTCATTTAACTCGGTTTACAAAAGGTCATGCAACCTAGAAGTAACACAAAAGGAATCTGCAAAAATTTGAATCTCAAGTAGACCAGTAAAGTAACAGTGCAAACCTTGAATCCTGAATATTTACCTGATCGAACATATCAATGTAAACTTGTTGAAGGGAATGAGCACTACAGAATTGATTAATCTCGTGGTGGATTTTGTCATATATCCACGTGTGGTCATACTGAACGCCGTAGTTGAGTAATGTGTCGTATACATAGTCCTTGCGAAGACGATTAACAACCTGAAAGCATTCAAATAAGTATGCATCTACTGACAATTGGAAATTTTTCCCTAACTTGAAAAGAAAAGAGATATTACTTCTATTTTCTCAAAGCTAATCATTACACCTCCTTTTGTTCCACAAGGGATGTCTCTCACCTGCGATTGCAATGACCACAACACATTATCGGTTTAAAACAATGTTATATTTAAAATTGTAATGTTTGTGTGTGTGTGAGGGAGAGAGAGAAAGAGAGAGAGAGAGAGAGAGAGAGAGAGAGAGAGAGAGAGAGAGAGAGAGAGAGAGAGAGAGAGTTACCAAATCTGTCTGCAAAGTCACTTGAATAGGCTCAAAGTGGGTTATCACAGGCAATTTCAAATGGAAACCTTCAGATGTACAAAAGGAAAAACAAAACGAGAGTCGGGTCAGCTAAATGATTGTTCATATACATTATGATGTCGGAAAGGTGCTATAGATAGGAAGCAACAAGTGTGATCTATGATACCTGGATCAGTGATTGTATTCAAGAGGGCACCTCCCATCCAATAGACCCCAACGTGACCTTCAGGAACTTGATGCAAAATAGACAAACTCTGGTTTAAATTTGAGGCTGAAGGAACTATAACCTGCAAATTGTTTAATTCAGTACCATATGCTCTTCCTGCAAACTTAAATTATTGATACCAGCATATTTTATGATTATGCGACAAGTATTCGCATATTTCACGTCTCGCATATCCAAATCGGGCGCATAGTTAGCTAGTATGCGACACACTTACCCATATTTTATTTCGCATATACAGTTATCGCATATCCAAATTGATAACAGCATATTTATGATTATGCGACAGATATTTCGCATATTTTACGTCTCCCATACCAAAACCGGACTCAAAATCGGACTCATAGTTACTAGTATGCGGAACACTTACGCATATTTTGTTTTCATACATATAGTTATCGCATATCCAAATTGATACCAGCATATTTTATGATTATGCGACACGTTTTCACATATTTTACGTCTCGCATATCCAAGTCGACAGCTACATTATGGGCTATGACTACTAAAAGGGGAAAGAAAAGGATGTAAGAAAGAAGGTAATATAATTAATCAAATAAAACCTAACATTCAGCAATTTACGCAAAAGTTGCATTTATTAATGGCTATCATTATAGTCTGGAAGTCTTCTTCAACTGTTACATACTAACCACCAACCCTAGAACATAGAGTAGTAGCCAGAAGAAGCCCGCAAGAATGTAAGTGTTAAGATGTTAATGGTATTCAATAGACAGTCACAAGGTTATCACAATTTCCAGGCGTTTGTCAGAGAAAACGAGAAAGAAAACCTCGCTCTAAAACTCTCATACGGCATCCTTACGTCCATGTTTGTACTAAAATGCATTATGCAGAGACGAAGTTGTTTCATGAATAACCGGTACTCAAACAAACAATTTAATCACGTAATAGCTCACCTACGACTACAATTTTAGCTACAACTTTAAACATACAACACATTCACTTAAGCATGAACTTACTGGAGGATCTCAACTCCATCTGCGAAAATATAATCATATGAACAACATTGTACACAGAAGCAATTATCACAGAACAACCACCACAATAGAACAAAATTAGGCATGGATTTAACCCCCAAAACAATAATTACAAACATAGCATGAGGACGAACAAGTCCACTAGGTCAAAATTAACATAAACGCTGATCGCCGATCAAATTCAACAGGCCAGCTTTTTCAATGGCATATGTTCATAAGGTTTACGCAGATGGCAGCCTCTACAACTTCGCACAAAAATTACAAACAATAAATAAAAATTACTTTACCATTGCGGCAATAGCGATAAAGGAACATAGAACGATGAAAATAGCCGAGTAGTCACCGCCTCCGCCCGCCGGCGGCTGTGGTGCACCGGCTCGCTGCTGCTGCTGCTGCTGCTGGGCGTCCATGTCTTAAAAAGGTGAAGTAACAGTGGGGATTTTTTTTTGTGACAATGGCGTCGAATGAGGGTGAGGATGTTGGCCTCTCCAAGTAACCACCAGTATTTATTTACTTTTCAGAATTGTGTAATTACAAAAGCTACCCGCATGTTTGGTCGAATTAAAATGGTACCATCTAGTACATGGGTAAAATTCACAATTGATATCCAAAGTGGATTGCTATTTATCGCCCCTATTACTAGTCACCGTGATGTAGAACGTGAATACGAAACGGGAATAAAAGTGAGATACTCTCTCACGAAGAACAATTTGAGATACTCTCTCAATGAAACTTAATTTTTAATCGTCAAAATAAACTCTCTTACATCCTTAGTTCCTCATCCTTAAATAATAAAAGAGTCCTAACCTTGCTATACATCTTGCAAGGTAATTTATTTATTTCCTAAAAATGATAAGAAAGCTGAAAAAGGAATAGATATGCATAATAATAAAAGTAAGGACTAGATCTTGAGCCGGTCAAACTTGTCGAGAAAGGCTAAGGCGGTCTCATCTCCATCATCCTCCCGGGGTTGGGAAGGATTCGGCCTCGAATCCGAACCGGTCTCATCTCCATCTGAATTGTCTCCCGAAAAAGGCACCAAATGCTTGACGTTAAAAACGTCAGAAGTCCGAACATGTGAAGGAAGACGCAAGCGATAGGCATTGGGGTTGATCTTCTCAACCACCTCGACCGGACCAATCTTCCGTGCGGACAACTTGTTATACTCATGTGCGGTGAACCGGTCCTTCGTCAAAACAGCCCAGACAAAATCGCCGACCTCAAACTCAACATTGCGTCTCGTCGCATCAGCCCGCCGCTTATACGACGCCGTAGTAGCCTCGAGGCGAGCCTTCGTCGTCACGTGGATAGCCTGTAAATCGGCAATCATATCGACTGCCCGACGATCAGTCGTGGAGGGAGACGGCAAAATAACCAAGTCAGAAGGACCCCGGGGTCGAAGGCCATAGACCACCTCAAAAGGAGAGAGCCCTGTGGCACGGCTAATCGCGGAATTGTGGGCGAACTCAGCCTGGCTCAAACGCGCATCCCAACTGCGAAGGTTATCGCCCACCAAACATCGCAAAAGATTACCCAAGGAGCGATTCACCACCTCCGTCTGACCATCAGTCTGAGGGTGGTACGCACTGCTGAAGGTCAACTGAGTATTCGCCATACGCCACAGACTGCGCCAAAAATGGCTCAAGAAACGAGTGTCTCGGTCCGATACAATGGATGAGGGAAGACCATGCAAACGATAAATCTCACGGAAAAATAACTGCGCCACGTGAACAGCATCAGTGGTTCGCTTACACGGAATAAAGTGGACCATCTTCGAGAAGCGATCCACAACCACAAAAATAGAGTCGAAACCCCTCTGGGTGCGCGGTAACCCGAGCACAAAATCCATACTAATCGCACTCCAAGGCTGAGAAGGGATAGGAAGAGGTCTATACAACCCGGCATTGGAAGCAACGCCTTTGGAACATGACAAACCCGACACCGTGCCACATACCGAGAAACATCACGGCGCAGAGAAAGCCAAAAATAAGAACGGCTGACAAGCTCAACCGAACGATCACGCCCCACGTGACCCCCACCATGGATCTCCGCAATGAGCTTGTGACGGAGACTACAGTCCGGGATGCAAAGGCGAGTACCCCGAAACAGAAACCCATCAGTGAAAGAATAATCCTCAAAGGGTCCCCGACCCAATTGACGAACAATGGGCCCAAAAAAATCATCAGTCGGATACGCCTCACGCAAAACATCAAAACCCACCACCGAGACTCGCATATCAGATATCAACAGGGCCCGTCGACTCAAGGCATCAGCCACCCTATTCGAAGCACCGGAACGATGCCGAAGGACAAACGTGAATTGCTGCAGAAAAGCAATCCAGGAGGCATGGCGCGAAGAAATATTATCCTGAGAGGCCAAATGTCGCAAAGACTCGTGGTCCGTGTAGAGAACAAATTCACGATGAAAGAGATAGTGACGCCAATGGCGGACAGCCTGAACAATGGCATAGAACTCCACGTCATAAGTACTGTAACGAGTGCGTGGCCCAGAAAGCTTCTCACTAAAGAAAGACACGGGTCGACCCTCCTGGCTGAGCACAGCACCAATGCCGACCTTCGACGCGTCACAAGACAACTCAAACGGTCGAGTAAAATCAGGAAGTACGAGCACGGGAGCCGAAGTCAACTTACGCTTGATCACCGCGAAAGCCTCCTCGGCGGCCGGAGTCCAAACAAAGGACGGCCCATGAAGGCAATCCGTAATCGGGGCTGTAATAGTGCTGAAATTAGAAATAAAACGGCGGTAGAACGATGCCAGCCCGTGAAAACTACGGGCCTCGGTAAAAGAAGTCGGAGTCGGCCAGTCCCGAATAGCAGCTATTTTACTGTCGTCCACACGAATACCATCCGCCGAAATTACAAACCCCAAAAATAAGACAGAACTAGCCAAGAAGATGCACTT